CTTTCTCCCACAACCGCTGTAGGTTTCCTCACTCATGACTCATTTGACTCATCCACTAGTGGGTGACACCCTGGACGTGATTTCATTGGTCAATCTTTGATTTATGACGTTACCTTACGATGTTTTTCGACGCCATTTTCTATTGTTACGTCATGCTCCATGGCAATTGTTTCCCCCATCGGAAACACACATGATGAATTTTCCAAGGAAAAATGTGTTTTTTCAGATAAAAGACGAACGTTATGGAGAAACAGGTCTCCAAACTCGTGATGATCAGTTATCACGTGTATCTAAATCTCGTTAATTAATATTCAAATTGTAAAAGAGACTCGGTAAACCTCGTGTCCTTGAGTTAACTTTGGAGAACCTCTATTTATAAAGACTTCAAAACAATTTACTACATTACCCATAATTTTTGGCAAATTGAGTAAACCTTACATGAAAATTGTTAGTTAGACCCTCTATTTGTCACATATTCAATATGTACAAATGTAAATTTGATAATATCGTGATTGGAAAATGAAAGGAATTAATCATATAAATAATGTTAATTATATCTTCTGCAAAACAACATCCATGATTATCCCGTCCTTATATTAAATTTGAATACGGAATGTTGAACCTAACAATAATGTCGACAAAATAACTTCAAGTAACTGCTTGAGTAGTAGATCTTGTGTTGTAAAACACTGTATTGCGCGACAAGAAAAGTGGCTGTATCGCTATATCATGGATGAAAGATATGGTCATACAGATAATAAGTATATAGGTGTACCAGGGCCCGTATTCATGAAACCGTTCTCTTGCTCAGACATGGATTCTGTGCTCAAACCAGCTTTCTTGAAAGTCGCTTAAATCATGTCAAACGATCAAATGTAAATATCATAAAAAAAATCGGCTTTCAGTCTCTTCAATGCTTTTCTAAATCATGGACAAAATAAGATTTTATTATTAATTCATCAACGGAATAAGAAATTAGGCTTGAGCACAAATTCCATGCATGAGCACGAGAACGGTTTCATGAATACGGGCCCAGGTTTAGTATCGGAGAAATGTGGATTTCTGTATTGAATGACTTCGTGCTAGAGTCTCTAGTATGGCATCTATCTTAATATTTCTACATAAATGTAAATAGTCTGATAAATTGAAATTAAAAAAAAGAATAAGTATCAGTTTCTAGTTGGTTTTCTAATTGTCATTATATTATACTTGTAAAAATTGTTAAAAAGAGTGTGAATCATGGAAATAACAAGTTGTTCAAACTTGATAAATATCGAACTTAATAATAACTTTTACTCTAAAATATACTTTACTTTTCAAAATACATTTAACCTAGTGAAAAATATATATAAAAAAGAGATGAAGTAGATTAAGATGTGATGTCAGTTAAACTCCTTCCCCTCCCCCCCCTCCCTCTTCCCCTCTCGCACTGATAGCAATTTAAATAATTCCCTAATCTCTCCTCACTATCGCCACCCCTCCTCCTTAAAGATAGCTTCCCACTGGTTTAAAGCGTTATTTCAACAATAGGAAAGACGTTTTACAGAGTTATGGTTGGTTTCCCTTATACAAGGGATTTCTAATGGAGTACAATTAATACCATCAGTGAAATCAAATTCAAAATATAAGTGTCTGTTTAATAATCAACTTTTGGCACTTACCTATAGCCATGTGTAAATAGAAAACAATTTCGGTCTAATATCTTTTATCTCTCGCGCTATTTATTTATTCATTGTCTTATAGTTGAAATTATTGTCAAAAACGACACGGATGAATCAATTTTGTAATCAATCAGAAAAAAACATTCGGGAATTCCCGTCATAATCAAATTTGACGTCACGTCATGACAAGTTACCGGTGACTTTAAAAGCAAGACAGAAAGACACGAACAGTTTCCGATAGGAAAATATTCATATTAAATACAACATATGATGGGTAGGTTTACCTGTGGACGGTATATATGTAGATATTAGCCTTATCGTCTTCAATTCCTTGCCTGCATGTTTGTCACGTACTGTATAGTTACATAATGTTACCGGGAAAACTATGAAATGAGCACTGGTCATAACAGGACGTCCTTTTGTTCTGGTGTGACTAACACTTCAATAGTACACAGAAATAAACACTAAAAGACTATAAATAGGCAAGGAAAAAAAGCTAAGCTGATCTTCGTTCCTTCCGTTTTAAATGGATTTGTGGATTGCAAATTTATTCGACAGTACCACTGAAAGAATGTGTAAAAGCCTTGCCCAAGTCCGAACGTGTTTTAGAGGTAGAAGAGGGAGGAGGAGGGGAGGAGGAGGAGGGGAGGAGTGCAGTTAATTCAATGACTTCCGAATAAATATCTTTCGTCAATGATTGTGGTATTTTAAATATCAACGTGTCTAATCTAATGAAGATGAATTTACAAATGAGAAAGTATTTAACAGACACATTTTGTTGATTTAGCATTGATTGGCCCAGGATGGATAATTGAGGTTACTAGTAAAACGTGGTTTCTACAGTAGTCATATTTAAGACAAATAGGTTTCTCATCGACAATTTGTATAAACTAGAAAAACGTGACCACTATACTAGGTTTTCACAAAAATCGTTTTATATCGACCACAGTGCTTCAGCCACTCTATAGATACACAGCATTTGACGACGAAACATGTCATGATACACATTTATACAAATAACCGAAAGACAGTTCAGTGCCTGCCATTCAATTGTTTATTTAAAGAAAAAATAAGAAACAGTTTGAAGTACAAAAGTGTGACCATATTGACCACAAAATGATTCCGGAAGTATAGAAGTCTATACAAATTTATCTTATTAAGGAACCTCGTACCACTGTTAAAAACTATAACGACGCTTTGGAACTTTTTTTGCGGGCATAGCTATAACTTTGATAAATCACTTCTGAAAAGAAAACCATACCTTGCAGGACTTTTATACTAAAGATGAAATAAACAAAACATAACCTACAGTGTTCTGAGTGTAAAATTCAGCTTTGCTCTACTGGAATTCGAACCCATGGCCCGTATTCATGAAACCGTTCTCATGCTCAAGTATGGATTCTGTGCTCTCTAAGACATACAGTAGTACAGTAAAATAACAGATTGTTATACTATCGCTCTAACCGATTGAGTTACCTGTCGACGGAAGTGTCTTTGGGCTTTTTAATTGCAAATATAAAGAAACTAAAAAAAAACTACACTGAAAAAGAGCATATCCGAGCGTAGCAATTCTATTTCCCCCCAGTGCTCACCGCAACATAAGTGGATAAAACAATATACATATGCTTCGGAAATGTTAGACTCGCCATTGGCAATATTGTTTAATATTTAAGAAATGTTGTGTATCAAAATATGTTGATATCGGACGTAGCCCCAGAACAAAATTAAAAGTTTAATTTTCACTCTATTGCAATCGACAGATTTTCGCTATATATTGAGGTAAAATCATGTTCTCAACTGCTCCTATACATTATACTAGGAAATGCCTCAAAACCTGTCAATCTGCCAATATTTGAGGTCGAGCGCCTGCGCCCTTTATAAAAGTCCGTTCTTCGTATGCTTATATTTTCTCTCATGAAATATGCGAAAAAAAGTTATATAATAAGTATATAATACAGTACATGAAAAAACGAAAAGTGGAATTTATCAACTTTTTAAATGTAACCATGCTAATGATTAAACAAATGTGCTCATATTTTTTGCAATATGTAACGCCAATCTACTAAAGTAAAAACATATATAATATATATATATTGTCTATGATATTCCCAACCAGAGACGTATACATCTGAAAGCCAGTAGGTCCAGTACATGTACGTCTCTGTCCCAACGTTTTGTAGATACACGCCAACTTATTATTTCTAATATCTTTTACAGCCTAGAATGATAGGGGAAGAGTGAGTGTCTCGTAAGTCTAATATAGTAGACTGGATGTAAGGGTGGGTGAGCAGACATATTTTAGTGGTTGTAATACTTGTACCTTTATAATAAAGTAATTTGAATCAATATTTTTGGATTCTTGTCATATACCGATTAATGTTATTGTAAGCCTAGTCAGGATGTGAGTTAAGTTAAGAGGTTATGATAACAAACGGCAGACAAAAAAATCGTGATGTTTACGTGTGTATTGTACACACTGTTTACTCCAAAAATGTAAACAAAACCGCATGGTTCCCTTCGGATCAAGTCTAACTGTATGAATGCATGATAAAATCCGATGTAACTCGAGGAAATGTCAAGCTGGTATATCCCAGAATGCAATGCTTTAATTTCCTCTAAAATATTCAAAATGGCTGATTGATACTTGAGGTAACGAGCGTAATTTAATTTTGTATTATTTTTGGCTTACATTTTGTTTGATATGCATTTATTTATAACAGCATGTAACTGCAATGATGTCATCTTTACATGCAGTTATAGCACAATACTGTACAATATTGCTTTGTCTTATACTAAGGTTTTTAAGTGCACTCTGCTGTTGACACGTTGAGCGACTTTTCGCTATAATTTATAAAAGCTTTTATTAATTTTCACATCGTCGTCTATTGCTATTTATCCTGCATGCTTTTTGTGACAGGTTTTCTTTTAAATGCAGTCAGAATACGTATCATTAGAGCTGTCTGTTGGTTTTAATATATGCAAATGTCCTCGGATAGTCTGCTATAAATCGACATATGTGGTCTTATTTACGGGTGATCTGTCATCATTTTCTTTTAAGATTTTCTTTTGCGGGACCTCTTAAATCTAAGAAATATGCAACGATTTTATTCAGAGATAACTCCAAAAAATTATTGTGTCATTTGGCAGTTTAAGAAAAAATATGCTGTCGTCAAAATAGGTTATCTTGTCTGTTGTGATTAATAATTACTGAAATCACGATATATTTTTTTATCAATTTTAAGATTTGTTTACTTTTCATATTGTTTATTATTGAGGAAAAGTGTTTTGTCAGAGGTTTTAGAATGGTTACAACAATAGAATGATCTGTACAGGAACACATGTGTGGATGTAAACAGTATATAGAATAATCACGTATGCTCATGAATGGAGGGATTTTTCGAGGTGGTGTATTGATTATTTTAGCCTGACTATGTGACGGTCCCATACAACACTAGAATCAGCTGCTGAGTATTACAGTAATAGATTGCCTGCATAATTGCGTGGGAGAGGCTGGTGTTGTACAATGGATGGATATTATTTTGCTAAAGATTTGTTGTATGTCTACCTACAATTTTCATCACAAATGAATTGAGATTTTTGTAAAAGTTTGAGATGTACAACTGAGGTATATTTGTGTAGATGATAAATTACAAAGCTAAGAATCTAACCAGTCACTACCATGGTTATAAGGTAAGTACAGGTTGTACCATATGGTCGTGTTTTACAACACTTGTTTCATGCAATAATGAAGTTTTTTTGCTTAATTCTTGTACATATATTTGTGTGTCTGAAATATTTTACATTTTCCATAACATCTGTTTACTTTAATTCATTATATTATATCAGATCATATATATATGTGTACCTTTGCTATATTGATAATTACATCAATCAGTGAATAAGTATATGAAAATTATTCTTCAATATATCATTTATTGATTTAAATTTGTATTATTTATTGTACCTACTGTATATATGGTACTTAAAGACAAATCTATGTATTATGCATTTTTGACATATTAATGAACATATCCATACTGAATCAGCCATCATGCAGTCTGCCAATCAAATTTTAATTGGAAATTAATTATGTTAATAATTGAATTTCCAGTAGTATAAACATTGTATTTTAAATCAAGTTTTCATAAAAAAAAAAAAAATCGGTGCTTGTAGCATTTCACAGAAATTTGCTGAATTGCATTTTTGATATGTCTGCTGGACTATAAATTCAAAGAAATGTCTGACAGAAACGTCTTCGGTAATGATAATAAAATATATATTTTATGTTAATATTTTATGTTTATACTGGTGAAACAGATTTGTAGATAACTAAATCACTGAAAGGGACTGAGATGTTGACTTATTAGGTACTCTACAACTGATAAGCGTATTTACAAACATCACTTCCACAAAGGCTGACTGACCTAGTAAATGCCTGACTGGCCTGACAGGGTTTCTTGTGCTGTAGATAATACTGTTTATATACATGTATGTAAACCAGAGCAATGAGAGCATGGTATTATTTCTGATGGCCACACTTGTGTATCTTAATATAATAACACTGGGTCTCCGAGTGCATGTGACCGTATTATTATACACAATACAAAGTCTATATATTTAATCTAGTCATTCTCCTTAATTGTTGCATTATGCACATATCCTTTGAAAAATAATACCTGGTTACTTCTTCACTTCATGAAGAGGAAATTTCTGTATTTGATATTATATTATAGATACCACATAGTGTTTCGTTCATTGATAGTCAGAACTTTAATATATATATAATTGTTTTTTTTCAGTGACATGTTAAAATTGTTTGAATATGATATTTTCTTTTAAAGTCATTTAATTTCAAAATTTTGTTCTTGTCCTGCATAACCACTAGGATGCTGAAACCACCACTGTCAAATATACCACCAACACCACCACTATAACATCACAACAAGTATCATACCATAACCTCTTAAACACTGCTATCGGCTAAACCACAACAGACACTGTAATACAACAAACATCCCTCAAGCCATAACAACAGCTACCAATATCACATCTACTATTTCCATACCACAATGTATCATACCCATTTGGTCAAGTGGGCCAGTGGATCATGCATTTGCCTTTTACATAGGTGGTCAAGCTTCAGTTCCTTGAATATGATTGAAAAGATTTCCAACCAGCATACAATAACCACCACCACCACCACTGTTATACCACAGTGACCATCATACAATAACCACCACCTCCATCACCACCACCACTGTTATACCGTAGTGACCATCATACAATAACCACCACCACCACCACCACTGTTATACCACAGTGACCATCATACAATAACCACCACCACCACCACACCACTGTTATATCACAGTGACCATCATACATTACCCACCACCACCTCTATCACTACCACCACCACCACCTCTATCACCACCACCACCAACTCTATCACCACCACCACCTCTATCACTACCACCACCATCTCTATCACCACCACCACTGTTATCACCACCACCACTGTAATATNTGTAATACCACAGTGATCATCATACAATACCCACCACCACCTCTATCACCACCACCACTGTAATACCACAGTGATCATCATACAATACCCACCACCACCTCTATCACCACCACCACTGTAATACCACAGTGATCATCATACAATACCCACCACCACCTCTATCACCACCACCACTGTAATACCACAGTGATCATCATACAATACCCACCACCACCTCTATCACCACCACCACTGTAATACCACAGTGATCATCATACAATACCCACCACCACCTCTATCACCACCACCACTGTAATACCACAGTGATCATCATACAATACCCACCACTACCTCTATCACCACCACCACCACCTCTTGAACCACCACCACCTCTAACACCACCACAACTGTTATACCACAGTGACCATCATACAATACCCACCACCACCTCTATCACCACCACCACCTCTAACACCACCGTCACCACCACCACCACCTCTATCACCACCACCTCTAACACCACCACCACCTCTATCACCACCGACTCGATCACCACCACCACCAACTCTATCACCACCACCACTGTAATACCACAATGACCATCATACAATACCCACCACCACCTCTATAATACCACAGTGACCATCATACAATACCCACCACCACCTCTATCACCACCACCACCACCTCTACCACCACCACCACCACCTCTACCTCTACCCCCACCACCACCACCTCTATCACCACCACCACCTCTACCACCACCGTCACCACCACCACCACCTCTATCAGCACCACCTCTAACACCACCACCACCTCTATCACCACCACCACCTCTAACACCACCACCACCACCTCTATCACCACCACCTATAACACCACCACCACCTCTATCACCACCACCACCACCACCACATCTATCACCACCACCACCATCTCTATCACTACCACCACCTCTAACACCACCACCACCACCTCTATCACCACCACCACCTCTATCACCTCTACACCACAACTTCCTCTACCACCACCACCA